GCCCGGAGACCCCCGCCAGAGCAGGAGGACCTCCAGACACGACCCTCGATACACTTGCCCAGACCCTCCTACCTGGACTGGGGGCTCACCTGCCACCCCCCGTGGGAGAGCTCCCCCAGAGGCCCCACCCGCCCTTCCACCCCACACTGGGCTTTGGGGAGTCCTGTAGACCCCGAGTCCGAGTCGATGATACGCCTTAGCACGCCCTCAGCCCAGACCACATCTAAGGGGAACCTCGGATCCCTCCTCGCCCGCGTCCCCACCCCATCCATCCCCTGCAGCTGGAAGCCCTGTTCCTAAAAACGTCCCTAACTCACCCCTGGCTCCCGCACTCCCCATTCTCTCAGGATCCCCACAACAGCCTTCTCTTGAAGACCTGGACTCGGTTTCTGTGCCCCAAACCTGGGAACCCCCCCAAACAGAGCCCCTACTCTGGAGCCCCGAAATCCCATCCTGGAGGTCTCTCGACCCTGGAGCCCCGCCAGCAGCCCCTGCTTCCCAAAGCCCCCCAGCTCCCGCCTCCCACCCCAGTTTCGGTTTCTGTGAATCACCAAACCCGTTCTGCTGGCAGAGCAGCTGTCAGGTGCCACGGGCGGCGGCAGCTGGGGGCTCCCTTCCTCCACCTTCCACTCCTGACCCGGGAGTGGGGAAGGGACTGAGTCCTTGATACCTGTGTTCTGGAACAGAACCTGGAGAATGACGAGGATGGAACCCAGGCCACGCCGGAACCAAACAGGCCAGTCAGTACCAGGTCAGGGCCAGGTGGGGACCCCAGCTCTATCCCTCTGGGGGTCCCTGTCCTCTCAGGGACCCTCACCCTGCCCTCTCCCTTTGTCCTAGCTTCCTATATAGGCCAGTGGTTCTCAACCTTCCTAATGCCGAGACCCTTTCAGACAGTTCCTCATGTGGTGACCCCCCCAACCATAACATTATTTTCATTGCTACTTCATCACTGTCATTTTGCTACTGTGATGAATTGGGCGACCCCTGTGAAAGGGTCGTTCGACCCCTTAGGGGTCGTGCCTGCAGGTTGAGAACCGCTGCTATAGGCTCTCTCTACCCTCACCCTCTCACCACCCCCACCAGGCTCCTCATTCTAAATGAGCCCCCTCCCCAGTTCTAACCCCAGCCTCCCTTAACCTCTGGCCCTAAAGGTACCCTAGCCCTTAAATGCACCTTCACCCATGCCCTCAGCACCCCCTCCCCTGTAGGCACTTGCTACCCTCTCCTTGGCCCCCACCATGGGACGCTTCTGTCAGGCAGAGGAGTGAGGCCCAGAGGCCCCCTCCTTGCCTCCCTGTCCCCTCATCGGCCCAATCATGCAGAGATTCAGCCCGAACCTCCATCCGCAGCTCCCAGTGGTCTTTCAGCACCATCAGCACCACCACTCAGCGCTCCTACAATGCCTGCTGCAGGTGAGGCCTGGCCTGCGGAGCCCCAGCCCTGGACCCCCCACCAGCCCCCCCACCCCGCCCCCAGTTGCACTCCTTCACAGCCTTCCCGCTTTCCCACCCACCCAGTTGGATCCAACACCCTCTGATCCAGAAGAATCGCCGAGTGGTGCTGGCCTCCTTCCTACTCTTGCTGCTGGGGCTGGGTGAGTGCCCCAGGGTCCCTGCACCCCCCAGGGCCGGCCCTCCTCTGCTATAGCCTCAGAACCCACCCTTGGATGCCACGAACCTCTCAGCATTCCAGGGGGGCAGCTGGCTGGCCTCAGCCCACCCATTTCATAGGTGAGAAAATTGAGGCCCTGAGTGGACCAGGCGTGGGCTCCCGGTCACACAGACAGGAAAGCGTCGGAACTGGAAATAGGACCTGGCTCTGCCCCAGCCAGCCACAGACGTCCCTTCCTCTTTTTTTTCCTCTTAAACATAGTTTATTTAGTGTTCAGCCGGCCCACTATCCTGAGCACCTGCTTGTTCCGGTGCCATCTAGCTATGGGGACAGCAGCGAAGAGAACAGAACCCAAAGGAGGTGCCCTTGCCCTCGGGGACTTTCTTCCCAGCTCACCTGGGTTGATTAGCTACAGAGGACAGCTGTTCTGCACTGTCCGCTCAGGGCCAGGGGCTAAACTCCCCGCCTGACAGATGAGGACGCCAAGATTTAAGTGGGAGGTGGGGTCACTCCCATGCCCATGTGTAGGGGGCAGAGGCTCATTAAGGGACGCTGGCAGCCTGATCACAAGGCAGACACTTGTCACTTCTCTGGAATCCGAGATCCAGTGGGACCTCCCTCCTGTCCCCATTCCCCAGACAGGAAAACTGAAGCCCACAGTAGGCAGTGTGCACAGCCAAACGTACTGGCCTGGGTTTCTCCTCCCCTGGGCTAAGGAGGCAGGGTCCCCAGCAAGGCTCTAGAGTTGGGGTCAGAGGGAGCCCTGGGGGTGGGAGGGGGGTGGGCAGGCTGTGGTTGGTGCCTCAGCTCTCCTTCCCTCACCCCTGCAGATGGAATCCCTTCTTTCATGCCTGGACCCCTGGGTGGGGTGTCTTGGTGCAGGGGAGGAAGCTACTTCCCTTCCGACCCCACCCCTACCCCACGTGCCAGGCACTGGTCATGCTAGCCGCCTGCTCTATCTGTATCTACCCTCTCACCCACCCAGCAATGCACACTGTTTGCGCCCCGTCTCACATGGGGGCTCAGGCAGGAGGGTGGCTGCCAGCTTGGGGCAAGGCCCCCTCTCAGGAACTGCAGTGAAGCTGTGAGACCCAGAACACAACCGGACAGCCTTGATTTTCCGGGTCTTGAGCGTGCTCTGCCCTCAACAGGGCCGTCTCCCTGCTTGCCAGTTGTTCTCCGGCAGAGGAAAGGACTCATGCTTTCCCTCTCTGACAGGGTGCTGTCTCACACAGGTCCCTGCTCTCAAAGGTGCTACTGAAGAAGTGGCACGTTTGGGTGTGCAGAGCCTGTTGCCCTGAGCTGAGTACAGGGCGCAGGTGTCAGCTCTGAGCAGCACATGGGCCCACGACATACCTCCACACTGCACCACAGGCCCGCACCCTCCACCGAGCTCCCCACCTCCACTCTGTCCAGAGAGTGGACCCAGCCACCGCCCCTCCACCTTCCTGATGTCCCCATCCCATCCCATCCCAAGTCCACACTCCTCCAGGCCTTCGCCAGCCACTCCCTCTACCCAGGACACCCCTCTGCTGCAAAGCCCCTGGGGTCAGGCCATCTCCACCTCAGCCCATCTCACCTTCTGTAGGAGGGGTCATGTGGTATCTGTCACTTGTCAGTTGAAAGTTCATAAGCCAGAGCAGACAACACTCTGGCTGCCTCAGTAAGTGGTCAGTAAATGCGAACTGCTGGGCCACTGTTTCTGCCAGAGCAAACCCCTCTTACTATGACATGACTACTATTACTATCACTGCACTACTATGACTACCACTATACTGCTATTACTACTACTTCATGACTACTTACACTATGACGTGACCACTATTACTATCCCTGCACCACTATTAACTACCACTATGGAATTGGTACTGCCACTCACTGCCATCGAGTCGCAGCTGATGCCGAAGCTAACCCCCGAGGGTTTCTGAGAGAAAGCCCAGTCCTTCTCTGGCAGAGACGCTGGTGGTTTTGAACTGCCAACCATATGAATGGCAGCCCAGTGCGTAACCACTACCCCACCAGGGGCAGATGACCACCAATACTATCCCGCCAGCACTAGTTCTACCTCTGCACCACTGCACCAGGGCTGCAACATTGGGCTGAAACGGGTGACGAGGACAGCTCAGGGCCAGCTGTGCTGGTGCTCATCCTCCTGGGCATTGGGTCACTGGGAGCTGGCACGGACTTGTCAGCACCTGCCAGCCTCACTAGCCCTTCTGGGCTCGGCCACTGCTGCTGCCACTAGTACTATGAAGCCACTTGTGCCTTTACTGCGGGACACTATGCTCCTAGCACAGCAGACCACCACCGTTAACCGCTGCCAGCCCACAGCCCTGCCCGCTTCCCCGTGACCACCACCACGGTTCTATTGCTGTGTGCCCGCCCCTGCTCAACCTTCCAGCCTCCAGGAGCCCCTCCCTGGGCCCCCAGGATGATAGGTCAGTCCTGGGCTCCCACACAGCCCTGTGCAGTCCTTGATACAGCCCATTCACCTGCACAACCATGGATAGTGTCAAGGTGGTTAAAGGCTAGCCTGGGGGGAGGCCTGGGGGCCAGGGCCCACTGTGCCAGGCACACAGTAGGTGCAGCAACCAATCAATCTCAGAACCCTTTCCCAAGCCCTACTGC